CCAATCTGTGATCTGCCCAAATGTTTAATTAAGATCCAAAGCAAAGCAAAACAAACTAGGGAGCAGCCCAAAGGGATCTCACATTCAGACAGACGATTCCACTCTCTCGCCTTCCTTCTGCAATCTCTGTTCCGGGTTCGAGCGATTCCGCTACTGGCGAGCTGGCCTCCGCTTCCTAGAAAGGGAACCCAGGAAATCCCTGGGGCACCTGTTCCCTTCCGAGGAGGCGGACAGCCGCTCCCTCCAGCGGGACTCAGTTGAGGCCCAGCACGGGCTGTGTCAGCCCCTTCCTTCCCGGCCAATGCACCAAATGTTCCGGAAGGAGACGGCAAGTGACACACAGAGAGGCAGCAGAATGGCAGTAAAATAAAAAAGGGTTTACTCCATCGATGGGGATCGATCACACCTAATGGCGGTGCCCTGATCGACTCCTCCATTGGGCTACAACTCTTACTTTTATAGGGTTTTACAGCTTTGATCTTACTCAGTCGGTTACACTGCATTTTCACAGATACCCAAAACAGTGATTGCAAGGCAGCTGAATTCCAACCTGATGCAGTTCTTTGTCAGGGAAGTTACCGTTAAGATTCATTCAATTACCTACTCTAGCCAGGGGGAAGGGAGCTTGTTTGATTAACAAAGCTGCTGCTCCTTGGTATGCACCGTGCGCCCCTGCCACAGCCTTTTCACCTCTTGGGGGCCTGGCCCCTCTGGTGGCTCTGGGGGTCCTGGTGCATCCGAGGGGCCTCCGGCAAATAAAGAGTATTGAGGAACTGGGGGTCCGGGGAGACTTGAGGGCCCTGAGGACAAAGGAGGTCCTAAGGGAACGAGGGGACCTGGAGCAACTGGAGGTCCCGGGCGACCTGCGACATTTGCCTTGGGGACACAGGGAAGGTGAGGGCATTGGGGGAACTGGGAGATACCGCGGTGCTGAGGCCCTTGGGGAGCCTGTGAGGAGACAGAGACGCGACAAGCAGGTCAGGAGCCCCACGGACTGTCCACACTGCTCTCCAGGGAGCCACTCAGGCCCAGGCGCTGCTGAGGCACAGGGAGCCCGGGCCAAGAGGAGACAGAGCCCAGGGCAGAGGGTGGCACCCGGCCTGGCCCTGGACAGACCCCGCTCTCCACCCCGGGGCCCGAGGGGCCACATCTCAGAAATGGGATGAACTCAGCTCCTGCGGGGATTCCAGACCCTCAGCGGGGCTTCCGCCTCCCAGCCCCGCCTACAGCAGTCTGCTCAGCCCCAACCCCAGGAAGACACCCCCCCACCTGCCCTGGGCCCTCGGGCTCCAGCCCAGCTCACCCAGGAAGCCACCAGGATCCTGCATCCTGGCTCTTGCTCTGTCCCCGCACCTGGGATGCTCTGCCAGGACCCGGGTTTAAATCCCCTCCTGTTCTGCCCACCCTGCAGGGACCCTCCCCGCACCGCCCTGCAGCCCCACCTCTGCCTGACCCTGCATCCTTCCTCGATGAGCAGCTCCTGAGCCCAGGGTGGGGCTGGGGGCTGGGAACTGGGTGTCGAAGGCAGCCTGGGTCCCCTCCCCTCCTCACGGGCCGAAGCCAGGGGAAGATGGCACCGTGAGGGTTCCCACGGCAGGGGGCGGCCCTGCTGTCACACTCTGGCAAGGCTGTTGCTGCCCCTTGGGAGGTGGTGAGCTGGCTTCAGCTATACCTGGGCCCCTGAGTCTGAATGCATCTAAAAGCTAAACTGAACTTTTCATTTATACCTGCTACTGACTGGGCCTCATCATTTGAGGAACGGCCACATGTACTTTCTCATCCCCCAGCAAACTTTTATTGTAAGCAATAGAAGGTGAATATTAAATAGAAAGTAAATGAGGCCAGGATTTAGCTCAGTGGTCCTGCCACCTGCCTCTAAAGCACAAGGTCCTGAGTTCGATCCTGGGTACAAAAAAAGAAACTACACACACACTCACAAAAAGGAACTCCAAATAAATTCCCAAATCAAGCACAAGGCCCAATTCTACCCGAGGTCCTTTCTGAAAGGGAATGGTGACGCTCAACAACTAGGCCACACACACTGAGAGGTCCGACTGGAGATTTTATTCAAGGGGTTGGGGGTAGATAGAGCAGAAGAAGAAGCAGAAGGAGAGAAGAGAAGAGGAGAGGACAGAAGAGAGCAAAGACAGGAAGGTCCTTTTATCGGTTTTGAGCCGGGCTATTGCTTATTCATGAGGCGTGAGCTACTTCTAACCTATCACAGGCCAGGTTGCTTTTTATGGGTCCAGCCCTGCAGAAACAGGTTTCAACTTCTCCGGACCACTGTGGCCTTGGTGGGAGGGAAACTAAAGATAAGAGCATGAAGTCATTCTACGAGCCAAGAAGCACCAGGAAAATGCAGCCTGTGAGCATCACAGAATACTTGAACATGATCACTTCCCTAACGCTTTCAAACACCCTCTCTCCGTCGTCCCCCTAGGATCCCCTCCTCTCCAGAAGACAATAAATTCAGCTCTGCTCAGGACTGTTCTCCTTCCTGGAAAACAGCTCCATTCCTCATCTCTCCCCGTACCTATCCCAGAATGCACCTTCACCTCCCCATCCCCATAAGCACAATGTTTACTTTTTCTTTTTCATTTTTTTTTCTTCACCCAAGATTTCACCACATAGTTCAGGGTCTGGTTTGGTTTGGTTTGGTTTTCCATTAATGGGAACCAAACTGAGGGCCTTATGCATGCCAGGCAGGGGCAGCACTGCCAAGCTATACCCCCCACCCTCAGGGTCTGGTTTTGATCTCCCTATGTAGCCCAGGCTGGGCTGGAACTCACAGTGACCCTCTTGTTTCAGCCTCCCTGGTGCTAGGATTACAGGTGTGGGCCACCATGCCTATCATATCATGAATTACATTTTTTTAAAAGGAAGGTTGGAGGTGACCCATGTCCAGAAGTCTTCAGCAGCACTTTTCCAATAACATATGCTCAGCACGTGTCTCTGTCTGACCTCAGCAATTCTGTAAAGATTCTGAAGTTCTCACTCTTACACTGTGTGTTACGGCAGTCTGTGCCCAGTGATCACTGATGTTTCTGTTGCCATTGTATGGGGCACCATGAACCGCTCCCAGGGAAGACAGCAAGCTTAAGGGATGATGCTGTTGCTCAGATCACAACCCCAACCAGCCACCCTCTGTCTCTCCCTTTCCCAGGGATTCCTGGGTACGTAGAGAGCACTACTGGAATCAGGCTGTGGTGGCCTTCAAGTGTTGAGATGAAACCAAGAGTCCCACGCCTCTTCCTTTCAGTGAGCAGAAAAGATTGCCCTTGCTGAGGAAGGCTTGTGCATGGCCCTCTGGCATCAGAGGATTCACCAAGCTGTGAATACAACCACAAAGTTCCTGAAACAAATCTAATTTGCTGTTGTAGTGACCACACAAATGATAAGAAAACCAAACAGCCAGGCCTTGTGGCACACACCTGTAATCCCAGCACTCGGGAGGCTGAGGCAGGAGGATCACTTTAAATTCAAGGCGAGCGGAGGTGTCACAGTTGCTGCCATGGAGTTTAGTCACCCAAGCAACAATGACAGGAGCCTAGCGCGAAGATGCAGCCCCAACCTCTCCCGAGAGGTGCTGTGCGAAATCTTTCCCTCCCTGCACACCTTGTCTGGACAGATAGGCAGCTTAATCGTGTAATTCGTGTGACATTGCTGGTTTGCCCCTTTAAAGCTTAACCTCAAAGTTGATGTGAAAATTACAATCGACTGCAACAAGCTCCAGAGCCTCTCAGCATTCCGGCCTGCCTTGCCCCTTGAGAACACTTCAGCAACACATTTTTATATTTACAGCCTTGTTTAGCCAAACTTCAGCCTGTGATTGAGGAGGAGAGCCCGACTGCTATTGGAGAGATAGGGAAATCAGGAACCAGGAACAAGAATGAATGAAAAGCCGTCCGTTCCCAAGGGGGGCCGGCAAGAGGGAGGCCGAGCACGAAGACAGTGACTTGGGAGGTGTGACAAAGACACAAGTCCGTTTGGATCCAGAAGCGGTTCAAACTAAGGCCGGAAAAGCAGAGATTGACAGAAGGACGTCTGCATTTCTTTATCGAAAGGAAGCCAGCTGAAATTGGTGAAAACATCAGGAAGTTTTGCAACGTTGTTGATCGCAATGAAGAAAATAGTTATGCAAGAACTGATGCCGTTTTTACGCTTTTAAGCTCAAGGCCACCATAGACTGGCGCAGTGACTTCAAGTTCAGCTTGAACTAGAGCAAGACCCTGTCCCAAAGGAAGAAAGAAAGAAAGGGAGGGAAAGGGATTAAAGGTTTTAAGACCACACGGGACATATTCACAACCTTGAGTTTCAGGATTTTTTAAATGAGACTGGAAGGGCAACACCAGAAAGGAAGAGAGAAAAGAAAAATAATGCCTGCCTCTGCACACTGTGCTCTATTGTTGTTTTGGGTGCCTCCCCCTACCCAGGATCCAACTCAGGACTTTGCACTTGCCAGAAAGGTGCGGTGGTGCCACTGAGCCCAGCCCTCGTTTTGGCTTTTTTCACACGGGGACTTGCTATACAATTCCGGCTGGCCTCGAACCCAGTGTCATTTCAGCACTCCAGAGGCTGAGACATGAAGGATCGCTGCAAGTTCCAGGCCAGCCTGGGCCGAGTAGCGAGTTCAAGGCCAACCTGAATTACACAGCATGACCTGTGGCAGAAAAATAATAACCTGTCATCCAGAGCCGTAAGACAAGAGGATCATCATGAATTCAAGGCCATCTACAAAAAACCTATCCGTACAAAGACAGTCACAGAATAGAATACAGTATACTAACTGACAAAACAATTTTATACTAATAGCAAGTATTTGTATAGAATCAAAAATTTTTCAGAGTAACATTTCCTATGTTTTTTATTTTCTTGAAATGCTTTTCTTTATTACTACATTTTCAGTGGGTAATATGTACATTCCTTACAGGGAATTGTTTTTCTTTTAATTTTTTTCCATCTATTTCTTTTGCACTTTACATTTCTTTTACTTTTTTGGTACACTTTTCTGTTTTTTGTTTTGTTTTGTTTTTTTCCTGGTCCTGGGGATCGAACTTGGAACTTTGGGTTTTCCAGGCAGGTGAGAGAAACACCGGGCTGAATCCTTGGCCCCTTGAAACAAAATATTTTTTGGTACATTTTAGAACTACACAAGGACCGCATTCATCATGGGGAATCCGTACGTGACTTATCTTGGCTCCTTTTTTCCCCCACGCCTACCCCTCCCTTCTGTAAAAAAGCTCGGTTCCATTTCTTCTTTCTCAACTTGTTTAAAGGCACTAGACAGGAAATCGTAATGCTCAGGGGACAGTGTCCATCTCTCATCCCTGCGGAAGTGAATACCGAATCCACGGTGAGTCCTCAGCGGCCGAGAGCCAGGTGTCCAGGAAGCGGCCAGCAGACACCTGGCCTTCCCTCTGCAGGTTCCGGGGTGCTAAAGGCGACTCCCTCCTCGTCTTCAGGGGCAGGGCCAGTCCACCGGGTCTTCAAAGCAGTCTCTTTGGAGAGACTCGAGGGATGTTGGGGACAACTGAGAATCTGACAAGAGATCAGGGGACTGGGAGCCTGGGGACCCGGCTGGGGCTGGGGCCGCCGTCCAGAAGCTGCCCTGGCTGTGGTTCCCGAGGTGTGCGTGGGCCTGGTCGAGGCTGGAGAAGGTGGGCTGAGCTCCTGGGGAGGCATTAGAGGGGCCCGGTGCATAGAGGTGGAAACCTGCGGCCCCCAGGAACACTGGAGGTGTGACAGCAGCGCCAGCAGGGCCAGGAGCAGGGCCAGGAGCAGGACCAAGAGCAGGACCCAGAGCAGGGCCAGGAGCAGGACCAGGAGCAGGACCAAGAGCAGGGCCAAGAGCAGGACCAGGAGCAGGACCAAGAGCAGGACCAAGACCAGGACCAGGAGCAGGGCCAAGAGCAGGGCCAGGAGCAGGACCAAGAGCAGGACCAAGACCAGGACCAGGAGCAGGGCCAAGAGCAGGGCCAGGAGCAGGACCAAGACCAGGACCAAGACCAGGACCAGGAGCAGGGCCAAGAGCAGGGCCAAGAGCAGGACCAAGAGCAGGACCAGGAGCAGGACCAAGAGCAGGACCAAGAGCAGGGCCAAGACCAGGACCAAGAGCAGGGCCAGGAGCAGAACCAAGAGCAGGGCCAGCAGCAGGGCCAGCAGCAGGGCCAGCAGCAGGGCCGGGGACTGTGGCCTGGCTGCTCACAGAGCAGAGTTTGTGGCCTCCAGATCCAGACGGGCTCTTTCCTTCCATCTGCTCCCTGCGAAACTTCGCCCGCCGGTTCTTAAACCACACCTGGAGGGACATAGGTGACAGGGCAGGGGTGTGAAAGGGAAGCCCTCAAGCACCTGCCTCTACCTCAGGTAGGGATCTCTGGGGTGGGAAAGGTGAGTCTAGCCCAGTACCCTAGCGCCCTGAAGGGGAAGAGAGGCGAGGGAGGGGCTGGAGCCTAGGACAGGGCTTAGGGCGGGGCTGCTGAGGGGGGTGGGGGCTGGGCTCGCGCAGCGCCCTGAGGCCTGGGACCCGGGATCCCTGGGAGCGGGGATGGAGCAGAGTCTCCCGGGTCGACGCGGGTCCCGTTTCCCAGCCCCTGGCCCCTATCCCTCTGCAGCTCAAGGCTTACTGTCCTGCAGCTCAGGGCCCGGAGGTGCCCCCCGGTCCTCCAGAAGGGAGCACAGACCTGTACTTTTTCCACCGCCACCTTCAGACTTTCTGCCAGCGCTGCTTTCTGCTCCTGGGATGGATACTTCTCTTTGGCAAACAGCTCCTCCAGCCGCTCTTGTTGCCCCCTGGTGTACACCGTGCGCTCCTGCCGGGGCCTCTTTTCAGGGGCGCCTGGTACCACTCCTGCATTTGGGGGCCCTAGGTTATTTGGGAACCCTGGGGTAAATGAGGGATACTGAGCAAACAGCGGCCCTTGGAGACGTGAGGGCCCTGAGGACAAAGGAGGTCCTAAGGGCACGAGGGGACCTGGAGCAACTGGAGGTCCCGGGGGACCTGCGACATTTGGGGGGCCTGAGTTGCCTTGGGGACACAGGGAAGGCGAGGGCATTGGGGGAACTGGGAGATACCGCTGCGCTGAGGCCCTTGGGGAGCCTGTGAGGAGAAAGAGACGCGACAGGCAGGTCAGGAGCCCCACCCCACGGACTGTCCACACTGCCCTCCAGGGAGCCACTCAGGCCCAGGCGCTGCTGAGGCACAGGGAGCCCGGACCAAGAGACAGAGCCCAGGGCAGAGGGTGGCACCCGGCCCGGCCCTGGACAGACCCCGCTCTCCACCCCGGGGCCCGAGGGGCCACATCTCAGAAATGGGATGAACTCAGCTCCTGCGGGGATTCCAGACCCTCAGCGGGGCTTCCGCCTCCCAGCCCC